GCAAACCAGCCCAGGACTCCACTTCGAGCTTCCCTGGCACCGTTTCATCTGTTAATTGCTGCCAAGAAAACATGGAAAATATCTGGCCAAAGCTCATGCATATTTTCCCCATTATACCTACAATTCATTGTGTTACATTTCAGCGGCCCCTTGAAAATGGCGGCCCCAGGCAATCGCCCGGCTTGCCCGCCCCTAAGACTGGCTCTGCCTGTAATACCACCAGGGCTGCAACTTCCAGCTGCAGAAACACTCATCTAGCTGAGTTGAATACCCCATGGAAGACCCCTGAGTACTCCCAGGGGTACATGTTCCCCTGGTTGAGACCCACTGCGTTACACTGTCATTGCAACACTCGCTGCTCATAAATCCTGCCATAATTCACATCAGAGACAGAGAGCTCTAAATGGAACATCCCACTGAGGGTCCCCCCTGTGAGATGGTCACAGTTCTCAACTCCCGAGTTCCTTGGCTTCTTGCCTTGCTGCTCACTTGAAGTAAATTCCACTTGTTACTCTTCCCAGAAATCAGAGTTACTGTGGCAAAAACAAAGCCAGCGGGGTCAGTTCCAGCTGCCTTCAAAAGAAGAGGGTAAAAATAAAGCCCCAAAGGAACAGAAGGAAAATAATTCTGGCCTTTTGTGCGGGTTCCAAGTAATCCACAAATAAACCCTCTGGTGTTTGCGGCCCTGCCAGTCTTCAAAATCTTACTTCCCACTGAAGAGTAACTTCCCCTGTGATGGAAGAGACTTGGATTTCCCCATCATCTCACGAGACAGAGTTATTTTCTGTTTGGCGCCTTAGTGTTGCTCAGGTGAACTCTGGTCATACGTGGCCAGCTGAGAATTGCTCCAGCAACGAGAGAGTTCTCAGCTGATCTAAAAAGTCATTTGCCCCCAATGTCCACACAGTCTGTCATAGGGCTCATAGACTCATAGACTCATAGACTTTAAGGTCAGAAGGGACCATTATGATCATCTAGTCTGACCCCCTGCACAGTGCAGGCCACAGAATCTCACCCACCCCTCTTAGAATAATCCTCTCACCTATATCTCAGATATTGAAGCCTTCAAATACTTTGAAGGCCCCAAGATGCAGAGAATCCTCCAGCTGTGATCTGTGACCCATGCTACAGAGGAAGGAGAAAAACCTCCAGAGCCTCTGCCAATCTACCCTGGAGGAAAATTCCTTCCCAACCCCAAATATGGCGATCAGCTAAACCCTGAGCATGTGGGCAAGACTCACCAGCCAGACACCCAGAAAGTTCTCTATAGTAACTCCTATCATCCCTCCATTGACCTATTTCCCACTGATAATGAATGGTCAATTAGTTACCAAGATCATGTTCTCATCAAACCATCCCCTTATCATAGAATCATAGAACTGGAAGAGACACGAGAAGGTCATCAAGCCCA